TGTTATAATGTGACCTGAACACATAAACTGTTGTAATGTGACCTGAATACATAAACTGTTGTAATGCGACCTGAATACATAAACTGTTATAATGTGACATGAACACATACAATGTTGTAATGTGACCTGAACACATAAACTGTTGTAATGTGACCTGAACACATAAACTGTTGTAATGTGACCTAAACACATAAACTGTTGTAATGTGACCTAAACACATAAACTGTTATAATGTGACGTTAACACATAAACAGGTGTAATGTGACCTGAATACATGAATGTTGTAATGTGACCTGAATACATGAACTGTTATAATATGACCTGAATACATGAATGTTGTAATGTTACCTGAATACATGAACTGTTATAATATGATCTGGATACATGAACTGTTGTAATATGACCTGAACACATGAACTGTTGTAATGTGACCTGAATACATTATTACTATCATATCAAAAAAAGCAAATAGTTTTAATTACCAAAGAATTAGTATTACCGTAAATCAAATAAGAGTTTTAATGATGCACTGTCATACTTTTCAAGTAAACAAGGCAAATATGTTATGAATAAGACAGTTTGCAAATTTAGACATATTAAATTTTGTGTCAAATATATGTACCAGGTAGATGCAATACATTGTATTGTATTTGTATTTGTATCTGTATTTGTATTTATTTACACCAGATAATATAAATAAATTTGTATAATATAAAATTACATTATTCATATGTAAAAAGAAACAAATGTAGGTAGCAAATGTTTTTGAGCACGGTTTATTATGATGTAGTTAGTTTTGTTTGCCTAACACCAGTCTACACATGTATCATCAGCAAACAAATCGAAGGCATTAGTACAGGTATTAATATCATTAATATAAAGTAGGAATAACAATGAACCGAGAACTGACCCTTGGGAAATCCCAAACTTAATTTGTCTTAGAGATGACGTAGTGTCGTGTACATTGACTTATTGGTACCGACTATCTAAATAACTTTGAAACCACTAACCTCATGTTTGCGAAGCAAAATAGCATGGTCTATGATATCAAATGCTTTTTTTAAGTCAACGAAGATGCCAAATGTGACTTAACCTTCGTCCATATTTTCCATAATGTCTGAAACAAGATCAGCAAGTGCAAGTTGATTGGATTCTATAATTTTGCTAATGACGGGTGAGAGTGAGATAGGTCTATAATTACTGACTTCAAGAGGGGACCCTTTTTTTTATAAATTGGGGGTAATTTCGGCTTCTTTAAGTGTATCTGGAATATGCCTGTGGTGAGGGAGAGGTTTATTATGTAAGCCAGAGAACTACAATTATTATTATGGGCTACGTTAACAATAAACCTGGGATGTATTCTGGGCCCATTGTTTTGTTTGGGTCAAGATTTGCAATTTGTTTTAAAACGTCAATTTCAGGTTGAAAAAAAATGAATTGCTTAGATTCTCAGCAGAAAGGTAATTGGTAAAATGTTTTGATAATTGGATTTGGGAAGCAAGAATAGGGCCGATATTGTTGAAAAAATCATTAAACGATATTTTCAGACAACACTGTAACATCCTAATTGCGATTTAATTTCTTAATAAATGTAGCTCTATTATTATTTAATATACTATTGATTATTTGCCTGGTTTTATTAGTATTGTCAATGGCAGATTAGAATCTTGCAATATAATAATCTCGTTTTGCCTTTTTTAGGAGTTTTGTCAGAAAATTTTCTTTTTTGTTATGTTTATTTCAGATTTCTACATTGTTGGGTATTTTTTTGGGGGGGGGGGCATAATCCATTTTTTGTTTTTGTTGCGGAAACGAGGCCTCTAGATAGCCAAGGTTCTCGAAAAGGGTAACATTTGCTACGACATATTTTAACTGGACCATGCTTTAATTATACATTACAAAACAATTCATAACATATTTTGAGGGCCTGATTGGGATCATTACAATCAAAAACTGGCTGACGACAAATAGAATTTCAATCAGAAATAGAGAGATTTGGATTATACGAAGAGAAATCACACTTGTAAAATGTTGCGTTTTGACTTAAGTTGTGTGAAAGATTTCTAACAATGTAAAATATAGGAAGGTGGTCAGTAATATGAGTCAGTAATATAAGCACCACATTCAACATAATAGTCGGTGATGTTGGTGATCACGCGATCAATGACAGTCCTGGTATTTGGAGTATCTCCGGTTGGGGCATTATTCAAAAAGTATAGCTGTTTAAAAGTGTAACATATGCAGAGTTTCTTAGGGGGGCGTCCAAAATGATATCAATCTTGAGATCACCCAGAATAATACATTTCTTATTTGAAGTGGTCATAACTATTAATGAATGAGGGGTGTGGGTTTCCTATAAATGACTGCAATTACAATATTCTTTTTATCAAGGGTTGTTTCAACAAAGATAGATTCACAATGGGTGATTTGTAATTGGTTGAAGCTAGTAAATGATAGTGAGTTATGTAAATACACCACCACCTTGGGAATGTTGACGACTAGAGGTGATAAGTTGGTATTCTGGAATAGTATATAGAGAACAATTAGACTTATGTAACCAGGTCTCGGACAGGGCTATAATGGGGAAAGGGGAGAGGGAGATAAAATCATCAAAATGTTTAGAAAGAGATCTAATATTTAAATGGAAAACTGAAAAAAAGATTGTTTTTTAAGTGTCTACCTGTATTAAATTGTTCCAGTGAATATTCTTTGCAGTTATATTTAGTGGGTTGAATGTCAGTTGTTTCCGTCATGGAGTATGTACATAGGGAATAATAATAATAATAATAATATTAATGTTTACCTAAACAATCTTGTTGATGTCCTCATATCTTTCTATATACATATGATGCTTTTTATACTTTTCTTGCACAAATTCAACCACTATTTGTCCAGATGAATCTGTATTCGTTGGTTTTACATTTCTGATTACGTTGCGTCAAGTTTACATTGATGTAAATGCGGGTACTATCCCCTGTTACAATATCCCGTGTTGTTTTACATTTGAGGTACTTTTTGACCAAATACAGTCTATTTCTAACAGTGCGTCTTGTAAACTTGACAATAATAGTTGCCGGTTGATTTCCACCACTATTTTTCCTTACGGGTAAACGATGCGATATCTCAATATCAGCCTCCGCTGCAACTTTCACAAATAGATCGTCCGTATTTTCACCGACTTCTTCCGTTACACCAGATATTTCAATATTATTTCTGCGTGAATATTGTTGCAAGTCATTTATTTCATCCCTTGTTTCTGTCAACTTTTTCCTAAGGTCTTAATTTTCAGCTTTGAATTGTACGATCTGTTCTGTGAAGTTGTCAAAGCAATCACTCACATATGTGACAGATGGTTGTAATTCAAGTAATTTAATTTCCATGTCAGTTAGTTTATCTACCTTTGATATCAGTTCAGCTAAGGTTGCTTGAATCTTGTTGTCTTCTTTTGAAGTTCCATTGTCTGTACGGTGGTCGGCCATTTTCGTTGACCTTGGCGCGGATGGAAAGCAAACAAGCTGACAGTTTTTACATAGATGTAAATCACCTTGGCACAGCTTAGCTCTTGCTTGTCCACAGTACTGGCACTTCATCCTTAGAAGCAAATAAATATTGGTAGTTTTTAAGGTGAAAACTAGAAAAGTAAATAAATATTACCACCACACCCCGTCTTAGGTCTTCAGAACGAAGTGAACACTACCAACTTTCTGGGGATGTTGGTGTATGGTGCAGAAAAAATACTCTGAAGATCAGATACTCAATTAAGAAGTATTGTACAGGCAATTCATTCACAGTTAAGACTCCTTTGAAGAATCTGGTTTCATCAGCTCGTGTACCAGAAAGTACCACGGTCGACCTCTTTCACTTTGCAGAAAAAGGTCAGAAGCGTTTAAAGAGTTTATTCATGACGGATTGCTGCCATCATCAATGATCTCGGTTTAGGATCCAATGAAGAAGCTAAAGCTGAAAACTTTCTCAAACTTGAGAAAGAAAACTAAAGTTCAGTTAGGTGACAAGCTGCGCGAGGAGCGTCAACTACTTGGTTGATTTCTCATCATCCAAATAAGCAGACCTGAGCTGTTGCCTAAGTTAGAGGAAACAATTGATGAGCATGGGATGTCAGTCATTCCACGCTACCTTTATGCTGTTCCCACTGTATCTGCACAGATAAGACGAGTCTGATGCATGCCATTGAAGATGCTGAAGTTCAACATGTTCAATTTGACCCTTTCGTTGATATGGTGCCAAAAGATCACCTGCCTAGAGTTATTTTTGTTGATGCAATGGCTTTACTACAGAGCATGAAGAAAACACGAGCCATGAAGATCTTTCTGATCTTGAAGAGGTTTTTATAAAGCTTATTGAGTGGATGAAGGTTGGCTACAATGAGGGTCGAGTGGTCTTTGGCCTCTATGATGACCAATCTTTAAAGAATATGACACGACAGAAAAGAACAACAACATCCACAGAATTTTTGATCCATCCAGAAATAAAGCTCACCATGTCTACCAAGGAGCAAGAGTATTTGCTCAGGATTTGCTAGGACACTTAGCGACAATACATTCAAGCTAGTTGTTGTTTATGAAACAAACAAGAAAGGTCAGGACTTTGAAGAGAACCATTCGCATGAAGAGGCAGATACTCTGATTCCCCATCAAGTTTTGGTTTCAATAAGTGAGAGTGTTCCGCGAGAAGTGTGTGTTTGGTCACATGACACAGATGATTGGTTTGGCCTTACGTGGTTACCTAGGAGCTCAAACTCGTCTGAAGTTCTTAACTAGTAATGGCATGAATTACAGAGAAATTGATGTAGCTGAATAGCTGACTGAGGTGGGAAATGTGTAGGAATCTCCAAAAAGACCTAGATGGTGCTGTCACAAGGCGGAGTCAAGTGTGTCTACCAAACAAGACTGCCCTTGTGTTGTGGGTTCTTTTCCCCACTGCTTTTTTTAGCATTAATTGTGACTCGTATATTTGTATACAACCAACAAGCAATAACTGGTGACCCTGGTGTAGTTAGTGTGAACATACAACAGACACAATTATATACTAGCAGTTAACGGTTTATTAAGTATAACGGGAACAGATTAAAGGTCAATATTAATTAAGTCACACCGCACAAGGCTCAAATCACAGCAAGTCGAACTAGAGCCAAGTGCGCGTTAATCAATTCTCAACGAGTTAGAGCCTGTACAGTAGCATGGAGCTTACATACACGTGTCAACAATGTACGAATGAATCGTTTAAACTGACACCGTTCCAATCATTAAATATTGCCAAATACACTAAATACTGTCCAGTTCTTCTTTTTAAACAAAATGCTTGGAGTTTAGAAGATGGCAGTTAGGCTGCTGTAAAGTCTCTCAGCCTACCTGCCCCTCAAGATGTTATTGAGCTGTGGGTGTGCAACTGGGTGCAAAGGAACAAGATGCAGTTGCTATAAGAATGGTCTTCCTTGTACTCCGCTCTGCAAATGCTATGTCATGGACTGTGCAAATGTGATCAGCAATGAAGTGCATGAGGGTAATCAGTAGTTGATCATGATATATATTCTGCTTTAACATAATACTTGTGTGATGTCTGCGTTTTAATGTAAAGCAATTTTATGTTTATCCATTTACTACCAAAGGTCTTATGTGACACCAGATATAATCATATGAACATTATATAGTTACTGTATTTTCTTAACTAGAAGTCAGTGATAGTTAGGTTTTATTCCAATGTGTCATCTTTAGCTACTAATGTTACCAGTTTGAAATTATAATACTGTATGTCCATTCATGTAATTTATAATGACTTTGACATTGTTTAATACTTTAAAGCCAGTGATGGCCACTTAAAAAACTTAGTTTCTTGCTAGTATGTCATTTTGTATGTTTTACATATTTAGTCAAAATAGAACTAACTGTGCATAAGTTTGAAAGTACGTGCGTAGTAATAATATAACTATAACTTTTGCTAATGAACTAATTTATGTGACTGGAACATCAGTTATAAATTGAAGTCAGTGGCAGGTGCTTCTGATCATGTTGAAAGTATCATAAATGCAATCAGCATCATCAAAAAACCCTAAAATTACCCCAAGATCATGAAAATAGGTTTAATATTAGTTAAGTCTTGGGGACCTGGCCGAGAAGGTGCGCAATTAAATGCCACTCCCTAGAGGGGGGTTAACAAGTTTGAACCCCATCATTTTCTGATAATTTGTTCAAAAAAAGTCCAATAAAACAAAAAAATCAATTTTAGCACAAAAAACCTATGGAAGTTGTTTTCTTGACACTCCGTACCACACTAATGTCATTAACAGTTTCTCGGGCATGCCTTTACCAATTTCATTCAAACTTGGCCTTTACACCCGTTTCATGCACATTTGTAGTTAAATACTAAATACTGTCCCAATATTTAAACATAATTTGACTATGAAACATGATCACCGAAAACATGATGGGGACTATGGAATTGACAATGACTTGTTTATTTTAAATTATATTCGAAAATTGCAAAGAACTTGAATTTGAAAGTGTGTTTACCGCTATTCAACGTGAACGCGGCCACATACATTTATCAACGCTGGATTATCAGCATGCAAAAAGAAAGTACGAATACTAAATATAAATTTGCACAATGAGTTGAGACAGATAATGCCTCTTTAATATGGGTAACTAATCACGATGAACGGAAGGAATTAAGGCAAAGTAATATTTGTACAGTTTATGCTATATCGATTTTATTGTTTACCTTCTCCTGACAGGTATTCTTCTGAAATTCAAGTTCATCTAGGTTCTCATTGGATGAACGAAATCGATTTTGGAAAAGAACAACAGATTGGAGTCGGTTCCGTTGTTCAGCACGAATTTTACGACAGCACAACACTTGAAAACGACATAGCGATGTTGAAGTTAGCAGAACCTGCCACCTCAACAGATTATGTAAATATTGCTTGTCTGCCCGATTCTACGACCTACTACAACCCTGGCACTGAGGGCGTTGTTGTTGGGTGGGGTGAAGACAACGGTATGTAATTAATTATGACGAAACGTGAAACAGACAAATTCAAACAGACCATATATAACACGTAGATATACCCACTATTATTCTTTGTTTTGTTTTTTATTTAAGGCACTTCAGTTGACAATACCGTACTCAACCAAGTGGTTGTTCCGGTGATTGATGTGGATATATGCAACAACACCCAGACGATGAATGGAACCATAGAGGATGGCATGTTTTGTGCCGGATATGCAGAAGGTGGTAAAGACTCGTGCCAGGTGAGCATAGGTTAGGATAAAGCGCCACCGTCAGTCATGTTGAGTCTCATGCAATGTATACGCATGCCTATAACGCAATTGTTAACACACAATTCGAGCGCTGTAACATAACTTTTTCACCCTTTGTATTTCACTGTGTATTTTCTAGTGTCTTTGGTTAAGTACTGATCTGACTCAATTCGTATTCGTTACAGGGCGATAGCGGCGGACCATACCAAGTTCTACGCGGGGACGGTGCATGGGAGTTATACGGAGTAGTAAGTTGGGGTTTTGGGTGCGCTGAACCCAACAGCCCGGGAGTCTACACTCATGTCCCAACCTACATAGATTGGATCTATGAAAATATAGCTGCAAGCAGCAATGTAAATGTTCCAAGTTTGTTGATGTTGTCAGTAATGATAGTTTGGCAGTTTTGGTGATTTTCAATTAGTATGCTAACATTATTGTGTAACATGTTTGTGATGAAATGTGATTTTCAATGAGAAACATTGCGCTAAATTAGCATCGGGTGTGTTCAAGCATGCAAAGCATGATGGGGTTTTATACATTAGATTTGGAGTTTGGTATTAACTTTAACAAATCACATAATTGGATACATCTTGGCTTATACTAACCTATAACAAATTACTCTGTTATTCCAATCACTGTTTAAGTACTAGTACTGAATTAACAAATCTTATTAAATATTTGAATAATCACCATCTTTGATATATATTTGATGTGTACGAATTGTTTTTTTAACAACTAGTTGATAGTGCATATTGTGGAAATGTGCTAAAATTGTTCTTACTTTAAATTGTGTATTCATTCGGAAAGGCATGAACATTACAATAGTTCAAGCATTCAGATCACATTACAACAGTTCATGCATGCAGCTAAATTTCGATGAAAACGAATAATATCTAAACACAACAAAAGCTTTACCGTAACAAATGAACTTAAATTTCCTCGAAGACAAGGCATATGCACGGGGAGATCACTTGTAGTATTTATATGGGGATAAATTCACAAAACCCACCTATTTAAAAAAATATTTCATAAAAATAAAACACACCTAGATACTAAATTTCAAGAAAAACATCCCCTTATTACATGTAGACTAGTTCATAATAATGATACAATGGATCAATCATTGCCATATATCACACATTATATCACCAGGGCCTAAATATGACCCTTTCGATACTCAATAACGTCTATAATGAATAAATGGCAAAAATTTATGAGATTTTGCTAAAAACTATTAAAAACAAGTCGTTGTTAATTAATGACATGTTTCTCTTTCAGGTTTTAGTCACTGTATCAATTATAAACAGTACAATCAATGTGCATAGGTATCAATGATATTCCTATGTCTTGTCTTTTTTACTCCCGTGTGCGTGTGCAAAACACACTATGGGAGTCTTTGTGGTTAGTGCATTTGTGTGTATGTCTGTTCGTGTGTGCGTGTCTGTTTCACTGATATCCCAAAAACCAGATACTAAAAAAACATAAATACTATGAGATAATACTCATATCTGAGTATTTTTTGGTTGAAATTGTGTGAAATTAATGTTCTAATTTGCATAATAATCATTCAATTTTAAGCATTTTTAATTAAACCAATTTTAAACCATTTTTAATTTTTAACCATTTAACAGATTTCACCGAGACTTGAAACATACATGCTCTAGGATAATGCGCAGACAATGTGCAGTTATGCATTGATTGAAAGACGAACCCCATGTTGTTTGGGCACTATAATTAGCAATCTTTCGTTCCAATTTGAAAATGCCTACTTCTTTTCATTAGCGTATGAGCAGTCCAAAATATTTGGTAGAAATATCCTCCGAAAACTCAATACATATTACTATTTGCAACATTGCAAAATTATTTCTCCACTTGACTGTGTTATTTAGTTTGCTGGAAGGTGTTATTTTTTGTCTTTCTCTATTATTTTCTTGCCGATTCGTTGATGATTTGACCGAGACATACCTAGACTTATATAGCAGATGGTTTCTCTTCCTATTCACCTGGATGCAGTGATACAAAGTATGATGCAGTGGAAGCATTCATTGCTACAAGTGCTCCATTGAAAGCTTTGATGAAGGAGTTCGATTACCTTCAGGCGTAATTACAAGAAGATGGTTGAAGTGCTTCTTAACTTTATATCATTCCTGAGAGAAGGAAATTGAAAGCTGCATTTGGAGACCTTTGCGGCAATGTTACCATGGATGGTAATATATGATCATCATAATTATGGAAAGTGAGGTGCTGTGTATTTTAGCTGACATGTACAACCTGGAGAAGAATGCCCCAGAAGTTTACAAGGAGTTTCAGTTAATTTTTTTGGAATACCCCTTGAAGGTAACTAAAATTTGGTACTTATATACAACAAAAACATAATATCGCTGGATGTATTGAACTTATTTTGAATGGTGCTAAAGTGTATGTTGTGTATGTAACGGAAACAATCATCTTTGTCTATTTTGCTTTGGTATTCTGATTTTCTTTATATTTACGAAAACAATTTATGCAATTTCCGTATATAATTAATATACAAATGTACATGAAGTAAGGCCTGCTTATCGCAATTGACAGGGGCACACACAGAACTCACACTGGACAGGGAGTTCTTTCACTGCTCGTATAGGGTAGACAAGACAATAGTACTGGAAATGAAAAACACATACAGCAAAATATCGAGTTAAAGCTCCTGGCTTTAATACATCTCAAAATAATTGCAAGAAATAAAGCACAGAAAGTACAATGAATAACATCACTAAAATAGGGGATTGCTTAGGGAAGTGTGCATTGGTGATAACTCACAGGTCCAGGATGTATTATTGAACGACAGTCAATGACTTCTGCAACACAACAACGGCGAAATACAGGAGTCTTGCTTGCAGAGGAACGCTGTTATTCTGAAAGGCACCGCTGAAAGCAGGAGATCGCAGAGCAGTTCATACAAGTCTCACAGAATGATGGTTGTAGCCTGTAATATCATATCCTAGCAGATTACACAGGAAAGCAAGTTGAAAAGACAGACACCAAGTTGAAATGATCGACCCAAACTGTCCTTGGTCTGTCCAATTTATAGGCAGTGACACCACCTGGGTTCCCACATGAGCCAATCAGAATGTAATCTTGCTGGCAGCTGTGTTACGTAGGCAACTCAGTAGATCATAAACATCTATTGTTATTCAAATAACAGCACACCTGGTAGATTACAATTATCCTTCCAAAGTTGTAACACCCTTTGTTATGTAAATTACAAGCACACCTGGTAGAACCCACTGTTCTTCCAAAGTTGAAAACAAGTATGACCTGTCAATCACCTTTATGACAGTTATCACAACGCACACCGCTTCTTCCCATGATTCCATGCACACTTCCATTTGCAGGGTTTGAGGTAATATGACAAAAACATAAAATAAAGGATGCTGACATTGCCCCCTCATCAAGACTGAACATGGCACATTTTCAGTTCAATAATCAGCATCAACTGCCAATAAATTTACATTTCTCAAAATTGCAAAAAAAAATGTAACAGTAATTCTAAGTATTGTCAAACCTGCTTAAACCGCATTAACCTACTGTTTACTTCTCGTGCCTTGTTTAAATAAATTAATGGCTGGTGATTAGTCTCCAAAATAAATTCTTTACCATATAAATATTGGTGAAATTTATGCAATGCCCAAATCACTGCCAAACACTCTTTTTTCAACTACAGAATAAGAGTTATCTCTGGCTAGCAATTTACGACTGGCATATGCCACTGGCAATTTTTCTTCCTCATATTGCTGCAATAAAACTGCACCAAGCCCAACTCCAGATGCATCGCATCTCAAAATAAAACTCTTAGTAAAATCAGGCAACCTTAAAATTGGTTGCTTACTCAATAAAACTTTCAAGTTAAAGGCACGTTCTTATCTCCCCAGACTACCTTTCTTGGCTGACCTTTTCTGGTCAAATCAGAGACGAGCTTCTATTGTAGCAAAATTTGGTACAAATTTGCGATAGTACCCAGCCATGCCAAGAAACACTTTGAAGGTCTTGCGGTTATGCCTGCCTTCCTTAAACGAGCCAAAACGTCCTGTACAATCGCCTTCCAAGATTTTGAATAAATTAAAATGTCATCAATTAAATTCTCAACTTTACCTTCAAGACCTACCAACAAGATACGTATCATATGGAAAAAAGAGGTTGGTGCATTCACAAGCCCGAAAGGCATGCGTCGAAACTGAAATAAACCATCAGGTGTGAGAAAGGCTGTCTTTTCTGTAGCGTCCTCACTCATGAGGAGTGCTAGTACCGACCCTATTTTAATCGTGAACACCCCTTCCTTTCTTATTTACCAAAACAATGGGTGAGGCATAAGGTGAATTTGATGGTTCAATTACACCCATCTCTACCATACTCTTAACCTCTGACCTCACCATATCTGTCATAGCGAATAGTTTTGACCTAACTGGTTCAGATGTTACCAATTTAATATCATGCTCACCAATTTTAGTCTTTCCAGGACAATCAGTGGAAAACATCAGAAAATCCTCTCATAACTCCATCAATCTCTCTATGTTGCTCGACATTCAACTCATGACCAACGAGACAATCAACAATCGTTTCCTCGCACTGAATTAGCACAGATCCCAACTCACCACTGTTACACAGTATTTCCAAGAACCATTTCCATGGATGGGATATGGTAATACTTATTAAATAAACGTCGCAGCCAATCAGTGCTAATCATTGTTTTCCTAGCCGTCTTATGCCTACCACCCCAAAAAATATGAAACAACAATTTATTTCTTCATTTGAGATTTACAACCGTATGAAATGTCCATAGCTTTAATTATTTGGAACTTCCCAAGCAATGTCAAGTCTCTCATTTTCTAAAACCTGAAAGATGCCTTAATCTTTTCTGTTGCCATTGGCTCATCATAAGAGAACTATTTTAATAATGTTTGGCAACTTTAAGGTAGAGATGCATTTTACGTGACAGGTATTTTAATTAGTTAATTAGGAAACCAAGATGACCTCCCTTGTCCACAAAACTATATATTTTCGGAAAGCTTATTGTATGAATTTTAAAATTTTGTTAGTATTTTTTTATGGACACTGTAGTTTGAAATATGCACAAAAATGTGCTTTTTTGGTCAAAAGCGATTTAAAAAAAATTAGCTTCTAAACCATCTGTTTACTATGAAGAAAGTGCTGTCTTGAAAACTGTCTACCAGTTGTCAATTTTGCAGGGCAGCAGCTCAAATTTCACTACTTCAAGTTTATGCATAAATTAACACCCAGGCTAGTTGTCTGTATGGTTGTTGTAACATTGTTCAACCAAAAACAATGCCCGACGGCGTGTTGAAGATAAACACATTGTCTATTATTTGTGAAAATTTAAAAACAAAAGGTCAAAGCGTCGAGGAGCTATTCT